TTTACTTCTACTCCATGAAAAAGGGTAAATCTGGTGTCTAACTAATGTTATTAGGGTCACTGAATTCAATTAGACATGTTTCAAAAACCTAGGATGGCAGCCATTTTGAAATTCAAGATGGCTGCCATATTAATCTTTAAAAATCAAATATTCCAGTATAATTCCATTTCCTGTCGTTGAAAAATGGTAAATTTGATGTCTACTCATATGTAATTAGGTTCTCTGAGTCCAATAAGAATAACTTCCATAAGCTAGGATGGCAGCCATTTTGAAATCCAAGATGGCCACCACATAAATTGTCAAAAATCAAATATTTTGATATATAATTGCATTTTTCCTCGCTCAAAAATGTTAAATTTGGGGTCTAATCATATTTTATTCACATTTTTGAGTCCAATGAACATAGTTTCAAAAACCAAGAATGTCAGCCATTTTGAAATTCAAGATGGCCGCCACAAAAATCGTCAAAAATAAAATATTTGGTATATAATTTCCACTTGTTGATCAAAAGTTGTAACTTTGGTGAAAGTAACCTCTAAATCTCTGGCCATATTCAATGCTAATGGTACATTTAGAAAATGCCAGAAATCAAAACTTGTCCACTATATGGATACAAAAATCAATTCTGCATATCATCGATATGGGCATGGTCATCAGAAAGGCAACCCTAATAAAGAACAAAGGCTTAATGAAGATGGTTCCTTGTTTACTTGGGAGAATTATGTCAACAAATGCACAGATATTATATTTAAAAAACATCACAATGCATCAGCCATTATATGTGTTAATGACCCATACTGTACAGTAAAGAAGAGTCGACCAAATATGAAGAAAGAGAATGACGATCAAATGGGCAGAAAATACCTAATATACACATGAAGTTACAGGACCAGTTTTTATCAAGTAAAGAGTTTAACAAAATCCCTGAAGAGACAGACAGGTTCATCAAACAAATGCTTATGTTTTATTATATAATATAAGTGGTAGTATTTCTAAAGATTTATTATTTTTGCATTTTGTAAGGTAAAATGTGTACATAATAATGGCAGACATATTGGAAAAACTTATAGTTGTCATCCTTTTAAAACTACGTTATTTGGACTCAATTTGGATTGCCCATAACAAGTCATTGGACACCATGTTTACAATTTCTATTGAGAAACATACATGATTGGACACCAATTTAACATTTTTTATCAAGGAGAAGTGCAATTATATACCAAAATATTTGATTTTCGAATATTTTTGTGGCGGCTATCTTAAATTTTAGATTGGCTGCCATTCTAGCTTATTGAAACTATGCTTATTCGACTTGCAGAGCCCAATAACATATAAGAATACATCAAATTTACCTTTTTTCAAGGACAAGAAGTGGAATTATACTAAAATATTTGATTTACGATTATTAAGGTAGCCATCTTGAATTTCAAAATGGCTGACATTCTAGCTTTCTCAAACTATGCTCATTGGACTAGTGAGCTCAATAACATGATTAAACACCAAATTTAACATTTTTTGTAGAGGAGAAGTGCAATTATATACTAAAATATTTGATTTTCGACGATTTTTGTGGTGGCCATCTTGAATTTTAAAATGGATGCCATAGCTTATTGAAACTGCTTATTGGACTTGCAGAGCCCAATAACATATGAGAATACATCAAATTTACCATTTTTCAACGATAAGAAGTAGAAATATACTGGAATATTTGATATTTAACAATTATTACGGCAGCCATCTTGAATTTTAAAATGGCTGACATTCTTGGTTTTTGAAACTATGCTCATTGGACTCAAGGATGTGAATAACATATGATTAGACCCCAAATTTCACATTTTTAAGCGAGGAGAAATGCAATTATATACCAAAATATTTGATTTTTGACAATTTATGTGGTGACCATCTTGGATTTCAAAATGGCTGCCATCCTAGCTTATGGAAGTTATTCTTATTGGACTCAGAGAGCCTAATTACATAGGAGTAGACATCATATTTACCATTTTTCAACGACAGGAAGTGGAATTATACTGGAATATTTGATTTTCAACGATTAATATGGCAGCCATCTTGAATTTCAAAATGGCTGCCATCCTAGGTTTTTGAAACATGTCTAATTGAATTCAGTGACCCTTATAACATATAGTTAGACACCATATTTACCCTTTTTCATGGAGTAGAAGTAAAGTTATGAGCCATTCTCTTGATTTTGGCGGCCATTTTAAAAATGGCCGCCAAAAAACATGTTCCGCCCTTTTTCAGGAGGCTCACCCCCGCTCATTTTTTTATTTATACCCTAGTAAGGCCAAATCAGCAGAGAAACCTTGGTCCCCGAAAAATGGTCACGGGGGCCCGTTTTTTCACTATACTAGTGATGACTCATGGCAAATATGAAGTTGCTACATTCCTAGACCGTATCATTCTCAATCTAAAGCAAGAATTCCCTGACATAGAGTTCATTTCATTCATCTCTGATGGGGCAGCCAGCCACAATTCAAGCAGCGGTATCTTTTCACCAGTATATCACATTACAAAGAGCTCAGCTACAACATAAATCTGTCCTGGAATTTTTTCGCCACGAGTCGCGGGAAGGGAGCAATAGATGGTACATTAAGAGGACAGTATGGAATGCAAGCCGTACAGGAGCCCATTTTCATAATGCACAGTCATTTGCAACAGTAGCAGCAAAAAGGGCTAAAGCAATCAATGTAATGTTTGTTTCCAAACAAGATGTGGATGCCTCAAAAGCTGATTTAATTTGATATGGGAAGGTATTGTAACTTTGCCCAACACACATGCAACGCATACTGTCATACCAGTAAACAAGGATGTTGTTTGCTATGCTGCATATGCGACATCTGGTACTTACGATACTCATAGTCTAAAAGAAACCCCTGTCATTTCTCTTCAATCAACAAGCGCCACAACAAATCAAGAAAGGCTGATTCAAGTAGGGGATTTTATTCTCGTAGAATATACTGGATTTTATTCTCGTAGAATATACTGGCATAAAGCAAAAGTCCTACAAGTATGTGACTCTAGTGACCGAAATGCAAGATAGTGAATAATATGTAACACACCTTCACAATTAATGTGGTCAAAAGAACAAGATGTTTTTTGTGAAAGATGTCACGGACAAGTATGTGTGGGTAGATGAAACACAAATCATAAGAAAACTTCCATCTCTAACATTAGACAACCGTGGATGATTTTATTTTTCTCAACCAATTCAGGAAGCTAACTAAGAAGTTTATATAAATCAAATAAATTTCAGTATTAACAAATGCAATTAATGACAGTATTTTGAAATAGGTACCCATGCTTTGTGTACAGGATAGCTAAAATTTGTTAATTATATGCATTTTAGTTAAAGGCAATTTTTTGTAAATACGTTAAATATGAATAAAAATACGAATTTTTAATAAATAATGTATTATGTATTAATAAAGGTTTTTAGTTTGTAATTATTAATATTTATCATAGTATAAGTAATAGATAGGTACCAAATTAACTTATTTGGTTTGGTTATTACCATTTATAAATAATAAAAATTATGTCTTAATTAGATATTACTATGGCAACCTTTTGTTACGAAGTTACCATCACAAAGTTACCATAATTTTTTTTTCATTTATCAATTTATTAATATTAGTTTGCTAAAATTTCTTTTATTTTTTAGTGTCATTATAAAGCTGCATGTATATTTAATGCATACCATATCCCTAAATAATATTATAAGCCTTCATTTCACAAATTTTTTTGAAAATGTACATAGCTTAAAAATCTTTGTCCATTTTGCTGTCACGAAGTTAAATTATTAAAATTAATAATTAATATATGGAGGTGATATTTGGTTTTTTTCCTTGTAGGAATAAAGCTACATATAGTAGGAACAATGTTTATATATGGTTTGGATAATTTTGAATAAATTATGAGTTTATTAAAAAGTTAAATTGTTGAATTTGTTGTAAACGAAGTTACCATGGAAAATTACTTGTTGTGTAAGTCCCACTTATCATTTATCATTGTCATTGTTAGGGCCTATTGCTATGGGTATTGTTGTTGTTGCTGTTACTGATATTAAAAAATTATATGTTCTTAAAAGTGACGCTATAGAATACATTATTATTTGGGTAATGTATGGTATTATTTGTATTTTGAAGGTTTTTTGAACACGTGCCCTAAAGGAAAGAAATTTGCTGATGGAGTCAAGAAGTGTGTTGGTAAGGTATAAGAGACAGGCGTTGGATAGGCTAATGTTTTCGGCGCCTACGATATTTCTTCACACGACCTATCGCAAAATCAACATGAAAAATCCATCCGCATTTATTTTTTGTGTGGAACACAAAAAATCAGATTTCAGTCTTATTTTACATTTTTTTCATTCTTAGGAATGTCTAAATTCAGTTAAACTAGCAATTCCGTATTATATTTATAAATCTTTATAACATTATACAAAAATTAGAATTTAAAAAAAATTGAAATTTTGCCGGGAATGGGGCTTTAATATATGGAGGTGATATTTGGTTTTTTTCCTTGTAGGAATAAAGCTACATATAGTAGGAACAATGTTTATATATGGTTTGGATAATTTTGAATAAATTATGTGTTTATTAAAAAGTTAAATTGTTGAATTTGTTGTAAACGAAGTTACCATGGAAAATTACTTGTTGTGTAAGTCCCACTTATCATTTATCATTGTCATTGTTAGGGCCTATTGCTATGGGTATTGTGTTGTTGCTGTTACTGATATTAAAAAATTATATGTTCTTAAAAGTGACGCTATAGAATACATTATTATTTGGGTAATGTATGGTATTATTTGTATTTTGAAGGTTTTTTGAACACGTGCCCTAAAGGAAAGAAATTTGCTGATGGAGTCAAGAAGTGTGTTGGTAAGTTAAATTGTTTATCATATGATGTGCCAATAATTTAATGAACTTGTCAATCACTAGGGATTTAAAAAACGCCAATCTCTTTGGTAGAATACAATGTTGAGTGGCACTTTGACGTTAGCATTTCTCAAACTGCCATTAATCAATCATTAATATAATTTATGTTTTCTTTATTTTAATCATCTTTTAAAATCTAAAAAATTATGTAATATGTAAAAACAATTAAATTTAAATCAGATGAAGTGATATAAAAATATTATTTTTTTGTACATTTAAGATATCAATGAGTGTGAGCAACCTGATATTTGTCGAAAAAATAAAGTTTGCATCAACACAAATGGAAGCTACAAATGCAAAAAAGGTAAGTTTTACTCTATATTGGACAATAATGTCATCATCCATATTTAAAGTCTCTCTGGTTGTTTACCATTGTAGATTATTTTTCTTTTTCTACCCAACTGGTCCTTTAAAATCTGTATGAAAATGTGTGGTTTAGAGTTGCTTGCACCTGTTGACACATTTCCCTCCTGGAATTATTTCTCCTTCTGTTATTAAATTCATTGTTAAGTCGAATAAAAAATAAAACTATATTTTTGAGCAAATGAGGCATGTTGGGGCAAAATGGCAGAGTTGTAGCAAAAATCAAATTATTGGTATTTTCAGATACCTTAGTCTGTAATCTTTAAAATGAGAGGTTATTCATTGAAATTGGACTTTTTAAGTTGTAATTATTGGGAAGTGAAAGTGCAGCACTCCTAGAGTCAGGATAACTAAGACTTGGAGACATGATTAATTAGACCTTAATCTTTGATCTATATTGGTAAAAAAATTTATTTTTAGGTCATTTTTTGAGCTCCCATATTTTATAGCTTATTTATTCAATTCTGGTCTGTGCAAAAACTTTTGCCACGAATAGAAATGGTTAAGAAAGTTAATATCAATCAATCAATCAATCAATCAGTCAATCAATCAATATTTCTTTATTGCAACTACAAGTTGAATTTACATATTCTTCAATATTATAAAATATATTAAACAAAAATGAACCATACAAACATCAAGAATAAATAACCTTAGACAAATACAAGATACGCTTAATAAAATGTCATTAAAATTTTACTAGAATTTAAAAATGTAACTGAGTATGTTTAGAATATGAGGCACTATACTTAAATTTGGCAAGCATTATAAGCTTTGAAATGATGTGGGATTTATAAAAAAAGATTCTCTTGCTTATTTTGATTTAGCATGTGCACCAGGGTTCAAGCGTGAAGGAAAGCGTTGCGTTGGTGAGTTGTTTTTATTACCTCCACCAAGGAGTTATATATTCACAGCTGTCTGTGTGTCTGTTAACAAGATCACCCCAAAACTAAGGAATGGATCATCTTAAAATTTAGTGGATTGGTACATAATAATCTAAGAAAGAGGTGTTTCGATTTTGGGAAGAAAAGGTCAAAGAACAAGGTCAAAATCACAGAAACTTTCTCTCGAGTATTAAAAAAAATAATGGAATCGCCCATAATCGGCCTTAGTAATGTTCGGTATTCTGATACAGGGCGGATGTGTACTATCTATGGAGTGACTACTCTAGTTTATTCTACAATGATAACTAAATTAAATATCTTTTAAATATATCCTGTTAGCTAGACTATGAGACAGAAATACTGTAATAATGACAAAAGATATATGAAAAATTTATCTAAATATATCATTACATATATATATATATATATGAATGTTTATACCAATATTATTTTATTATTATTATTATTATTATTATTATTATTATTATTATTATATATAATTTATTTATTATTATATATATTATTTTTACCAATCCATCTAAATTTTATATTCTTGCAAGTTTACTACATTCCATTGTCAAACCATTTTTTAAAATTATTTATTAACAGATATCAATGAGTGTGAGGTAAACCCAAGTACCTGCCAAGAGGGATTTGTCTGTAAGAACATAAAAGGAGACAGATTGTGTGAAAAAGTATCAGGTATGTCAGGTAGACCTACATTTAATAACTTAACATGGCCGCGAAAACCTGAGGGCCGGGAGACCGGCCCCCCCCCCCAACTTTTTTTGCAAAAAATATATAATAGCTATGTAGATTTTTTTTTTATGATCAAAAAGAAATGCTAGTCCCCCCCCCCCACACTTTAAAAAACATTCCACTGACCCTGTTTAATTTAATATTTCCACAGGGCTCATTTATGCTTTTACTAACTAAGTTTAAAAATGAGACTTAGACAGTGAAGTTGTTTTAGAAAAAAACTTCTGCTGTCACAGGAATTAAACCCAGCACCCTGGGTCCTGGAGAGGCAACCATCTTAACCACCAAACTATTCAACTCCATTTCATTTATTAATAAATAATAGAAATAATGATAATAGTATTTAATAACAGCAACAGCAAGATATAATCCAAGTAAAAATGTTTGTTGTTTTTTTCCCCAACTTTTAAAAGCTTTTTAACTGTCACAAATTATTTGTCCTTTGGTCAGTTGGTGTATGGTATGAGGTTGTTGAATATTGAATCGTGACTGTGTTTATAAGCTACTAACTATATGCAATATCTTCTTAACATGTGATTACAGCAACATCACTTGAAAAATATAAATTTACAGCCACTTCCAGACTGCCAAACGTCTGACAAGGGTATTGAAAGCATCTTAAGTGAAAAACCACTATAATACTTGGACTTTATGATAGTGTTCGATAGTAATTTCTACACCAGTAATAGCGATGATGATGATGAGGATGGTAATAAACATGAAAAAGATGATAACAGAATAATATAGGGGAAATACACTTTAAGCCTAGCAAATTTAGCTTATGTTCAAATGTATCAATCAATCAGTTTTTCAATCAATAAATCAATCATTAATCTGTCTGAGTTCACCCGATTTACAGTTGTCAAATGTTACAGTGTTTACAAATCTTTAACGAAAAAGTTATTTTTTATTAATCAATTGAACTTAAAGAAAAAGAATAATTCAATGAATTATTCAAATTATCAATCAATCATTTTTAATACTTTTAATGTTTTACTAAGGAATGCTTAAGTGTCACACTTTCCTTGTTATGAATAAATTCTTGTTTTATTCTCGTAGAGGTTTGTGAGATGGAGAAAGTTGTAGGACCATGCCGGGCACTTAAACCACGTTGGTATTGGAATAAAGAGAGCAAGCAGTGTGAACAGTTTGACTACGGTGGCTGCAGGGGTAATGACAACAATTTCCGAACCATAGAGGCTTGTGAGGAAAAATGCCAACCACAGCCACCAGGTAATAGTCATTTTACAACCACCCTTTAACATTATAGATTAGTCCATTTTATAACAACACACCTGAATTGATCCCAAAAAAAAAAAAAAAAAATCGCGATTTCGTCAAAAGAGATGCGCGCGGGGATGATAAACTAATCATTTTTTTTATGGGGCCTAATGAATGTTTTTTATTCGTGCAATGGAAAGAATATTTTAATTTATTGAAAAATTGACTGTTCCAATTATCTTGGCTCTGCCTCATCGAATGGAACAGTCAGTCTATCAACTCATGAAAATTTACTTCCAATTGCATGAATAAATAAAAAAAAACATTCATCATTTGTATACCAGTGCACTTTTTTATGAGAGCAGCATAGCTCGGTCGGCTTAACTGGTGAAAGCCACTGTGTGTATGCTAATCCTTGGATGGTCCACCAGATTTTGTATTCGACTGGTCGTTTTTCGTTAAACCACGCCCACTTGCGCAGTGGTAAAATCTTACTTAATGAAGACGACCAGTCGAATAGAAAATTTGTAAATACTTGATAAAACAAAATGGCTGCATAGTCACTGCGATACATGCTGTGTAATCAAGATTGCTTCAGCTTGTGACAGTATAGGTTTTTACGTAAACAAATATTTTCTTCCAGTTCTAAAGCTTACAATTATTTTTTGACTTCATGTGGGTAAAATATAATTTTTATTTTGCTGAAATTTAATGTAAAATTATATAAATGCAAATGTTGTTTCTAAACTGACCAATCAGCCATCTTTGATTTGGTCACATGAATAACTTAACGCTGATTAATGCACTTCATGGTTTACGTTAATTTTCATTGTCAACGAAGTTTATTTTACAAACCAATCAAATGAAAATAATACTCGACGAAAATTTGTAGTCAACGAATTGAACCAGTCGAATAAGCCCATTAACAATGTATCTGTGGGATCCATAAGTCACCCATGCCTGCATACACATTAGTCAGTGGGTACAAGTTTTTGAGAGCACTGCAGTTATTAACTTTAAAAACAGTTTTTTCTGTATTGTCGTTGCTCAGTAGAAATAATGAAAACTAACAGTCTCGTGTGAATACTTACCTGGATTACCTAACATATGCCAAGTTTATATTTACCAAATCTCACCTTGAAACTAATGGAATCGTCCATCCAGTATGCTTGTATAACAACATAAAGACAGCATCCTCATTCTTTTTTCATTCTTCTTTGAAATCTGCCTCATCAGAACATTGTCTGCTTCCGAAGAATCCTGGAATATGTCTGGCATTATTCAATATGTTTTATTATGATGCGGCCGCTAAGCAGTGCAGAAGCTTTGTCTATGGTGGATGTGGGGGTAACGGCAACAGATTCAATACCTATAAAGATTGCCAAGACACTTGCTTTGCAAGGAAAAAAGGTACTTTGTTTTTATTTATAAAAATTAAATCACAATACCATTCCCTCATGTAAAAATAATCTACAGAATTAGACACCATGGGTCCAAACTACCTCCAAAAAATGTTATGCAAGTGATGACAATGCTATATTTCAAATGTTAGTTGTTCATTTGCATTTAATTTAGGAAATTACTTATCTTCTATTTTTGTGTGTTTTGGTCTGCGAAGAATAAAGCAGGTACAGAGGATAAAAGTGCGTCAGAGTCTGAAAGACATTTTGAGCGTACATTGAGAGTTCATTGCCTGTCTCAATTTGTATTGCCAATGCCCCTTCCTATTATTAAATCTCAAAGTTAGCAACAAAAAAAAAACTCTCTTCTGCTTCATGAAATTGTAATCCTGTATCTAATTCCAAACATTGTCATTATGTTAGTTTGCATCAAAATCTATCTACTATGTCACATAAGGAGTTATGGTTACACATATATAACGTTTCTAGATGACACAGAGAAGCCAGGAATATGCCCAGTTAGTGAAGCAGGGATTTGTGTGGAACATTGCCAAGTAGATTCTGATTGTGAAGGTGTTGCAAAATGCTGTAGTAATGGTTGTGGACATATTTGTACTCGTCCTGGTAAACAAGCTTTTTTTTAATTATGTTGGTGTAACATATTATGAGGTATTTTGTCTTTAATATAAACTAATAATTTCAAAACATTATAAATGTTCTATTTTGCACAACTTTATTTAAGTCATTCTCACCATTCATCTTTTCTCCCAATCTCTGTCTGAATCTCCTGTCTTCTTTCAGCCTTTTTGACAATTCTCTGTTTGTCTCTGGTCCTTTATCCTGCTAATATTATCCAATCAGACAAAGAAAGCTTTTAATTTTGTGTAAAAAAAAATTATGTTTACATTTATCTGTATTCATTTAATCAATTTATCAATGTTATAGGTCACATAATTACTGTAAAAATGTGTTATTGTGTGATCATAAACATTTTTTGATCCCAGCCAGGTTATAAAAAATGTAATTTTCCTGGAGTAGAATATTAATAGAATGTGCTGAGTCTGGTGTTGCTTCCATTAAATTTGTTTACAGTCATTTAAGGGGGCATTTGGAGGCATTTATTCCATTTATTCCATGAGGTTCTTATTTGGGGGTGGGGGGGGTGGTCATTTATTCAAATAAATATGGTTATATGGTTGATTATATCATAATACTGTATAACCATATATTTGCAAATCACACATATTTGTCACATCAACTTTAGTTTAGACTATAGTTATAGTTTAATAGTTAATGTGACCTGGTTAATGACATTGAATTATACCAAAGAGTATAAATCGAACAAGAAAGCGTATTCCCATTTGTAAATACGTCATTCCCTAGTGTAGGATGCGCGCTGATGCTTGTAGGTACTTTATTACCCAGTATTTCACTGCGCACAGCTCGTTTGTTTGTGTACCTCTTTTCCACATAAAACAGTACTTGTTTAAAGTGCGGTAGATTTCTTTATTTTTCTTTGTCTATACCATCATATAAAAAATATTTATTAATCAATTTAATTTCAGCTCCAGTAAGCTGTGATCCAGGATATGAGAATGTGAATGGACAGTGTGTTGGTAAGTCTAGAGCCCTGTCCACACTAACAAATTTTGTTTGAAAAAAAGAAACTTGTATGCCCATATATAGTCATGATGTGCCTATATATGGTCATGATGTGATGTCATCGTGACCATCTATAAACATGCCATATTTGCTAGTTAATTCATAAGTTTTATTACTTTGAATAAATTACATATTATTTTAAATTTTTGTAACATGTAGTTAGGATATATTTTTACTAATCATCATCATCATCATCATCATCATCTTCTTAAGGTCAAGTTTTGATTTATTTTGCCAATTTTTAAACAACATTGGGATTTCATAATATGTGGCGAAGACAGGCCAAACCAGTCGCAAGAAGCGCTTTTTAGTAAATTTTACAGAGTAAAACAGTAAAATGAGAGCTATAAAATAGTGAAAGAATCATTTAAATCCGACATTTCCTCATGAAGTTACAAGCATTTAAACATAGAGCTGTTTAAAGAACCATGACCAAATTGTTAAAAAATATTGTTTTAGCATTGAAAATGAGGAAAATAACAGCATGGCATGATGTATAAATATATGAGGGTTAGTTTAGTGCAGTAAAATAGATTTCAAAAATGTTTGACATTCCAGCATATTTGGCCATTATCTATCAAACATGCGCCATCTTATTTATCATTTAAATTTAATATCAAATCCCATTCAAAATGTACACGTAGTCAATCTCATAATAACCTTTTTGTACCACAATGGAATAACTGTCGAGGCAAGAGAACTTTTTTGTATAGCTAAACAAAGTTGTGAAATGAACTTCCACACGAAACAACAACAAATTTCATGAACACGTCTATTATATTTTTTTAAAACTCTTTTAATTCTTAATCACTTTTATTATGATATCTATTTATATATATGTATGTTTTTTAATTGCTTTTCTTTTAACTTTTGTATTTTATGAAACTGTACCACTTTGAAAAACAGTACACAAGTACTGAAAGTGCATGCAATAGAAAGACAGAATAAATAAAATAAAAATAATATATTAGTCAAAAACTGGCACCACAACTGTTGGCACAGCATTTTTTTTTAAATGGTCCTATTGCCAGTGTTGAGTTTATTTGTCTCCTAATAATTTCCCACCAATTATTTATTAGACACACCATTTTGATGAATTTATGACTAGATAAATTTGAAACAATAAGTTTTTCATAAACTTGCAAAACTAAATACAATTGGCATGCCATTCATCATTAATTTTGATTTACCGTAATGTGATTATTTTTGTTTTTTTTCTATTTTTTATCTTGTGTAATGTTTGTGTGTGTTGGTGAATTAGGGGCTGGGTCAACCGGCTTAGCTACAGTGAATTGGTTCACTTTAGTTGACTCTGGCTTCCCAATTTCAGATTTTTTTTTTGTAACTTTTTTTTATGTATATGATGTTGTTTAAAAGACGGAATAAATAATAATATGAAATGAAAATCATGTTAATAAACTAGCAGAACTAGTACAAGTGGCATGCCATTCATCATGTTTATGTTGTGTGATTTCTTTTTTAGTATTAACTCATTGTCAAAATAGACAAAAGCAGGCTGAGGCAGACAAGGAAGCTCGTGGAGGAAGACCGCTTTTAGGAGCTTTCATCCCAAAATGTGAAGACAATGGTGAATACATTGCTGCTCAGTGTAATCCGAGTACTGGATTCTGTTTCTGTGTCGATGAAGAAGGTGAAATTATTGAAGAAACTATACAAAGTCGAAGAGGGGTTAAGCCAAATTGTGATTCAATACTTATTATTGGTAAGTTGTCTAATTGTCATTTTTTGTATGTAATTTAGTACAGGTAGCACTAGTTAGCAGTATTATCAACGGCTTTGCAATGTGCCCAATGTTTACCCTTCTGTACCATTAGATTCTCCATTCTCTCAATCTTAACCCTGAAACATATACATTTTGATTTCGGTCAAATTTTCTGTACAGAACCCGTTCTTTGATACATTTGTCTCCTTTCAGGTTTTACCCTGACATTGCCAGTCATTTGAGAGTTGGGGGAGCCACCATAAGAGTCATCAAATATTACCTCCATTACATGAGTTCACGCTTTTTTGCTTGGTCTTGTAAACTTCATAGCCTAATTGGACCATGTTCGTCTACTTACATGCTTTTGGCACAGTATCACCCTTGACTTTGTATTGGGGTGTTCCCATCACAGACATTCTACAAGCGGCATGGGAACATTGTCAGACAACCTCTTTTCACCGATAGGCTGTAGTAAACGGTGACCCTGGCTTACTGCTTGGTCACTCAAATATAATAACCTTTCAATTCATGTTCATTACTCACTGGTGAAAATTAAAAAAAGCACCTCGTTATTTATTATGTGGATAGATTTAGTTATTTCTGTTACTACTAGAACAAATTCATTAGGGAAGCTCTGTATTTATTGGACAAGCCAGGTAGATATGTCTTTCATAGGCTAACAACCTTCATTGCTAAATTGTTTATTTTTGTTTCTAATTTTAGATTGTGCAGAAGGATTTGAAAATGTGGATGGACAATGTGTTGGTAAGGCTTTAGTAAAATAAATCAATTCCCAAGTTATCACGTATTGTATAATACATTTTTTTTAAATTTGCGACAATTCCCAGTTTGTAAGTCATAATTACATGTATAAGAGTGCTTAGCAAAAACTGGGCTAGAAAGGCCTAGGCTAGATGAGATATCAAGGTTATTTATTGACTTATAAAGCAATTACTCTCAAGTTATTTTTGGAACTGATTAGAAAATAGAAGGAAGCCAATATTTTTTTCAGGCTCTGTGGATTTCTAGGCCATTGTTTCAGGAAATAATGGCTACTTTGAGTTCTATTTTCCTACAGTGCTCTCAAACCTGACATTAATTACATATTATAATGTTATGGTGTCTTTTGAATCTTTAAGATATTTTCCAAAATCATTAATTAATCTTGAAATTATTTAGTCAAATTGAGTTCGGCTTCAGTTTTTTTTTTTTTTTTAGTTTTGCTTATCTTCTGCATGAGTCCTTACCAACATAACTGGTGTAATACAGTACTTAATAATTGTAACTAAATAACCTTTGTAAAATTCTGTTATATTTATAAAATGAACTGATCAATTATCCAATACTTACCTGCCCTCAGATATTGATGAATGTGAATCAATTGATGCATGTCCTCAAGATTCTGGCTGTGAAAACACTGAAGGAAGTTTTAGATGTGTAGGAGGCAACCCATTTTTACCTGTTTTGCCTTCTATTGGTGAGTTGAATATTCATTTCCTAAAAAATAAAAAATATTGGAAATTTGTCTGAAATACTGTAAGCATTCACCCATATCTTATATTTATATTGTTTTTCCAGAGCCTGTGGTTTGTCCTCCACTCTGTGCGATGTTTTGTGAGTTTGGAAATGTTTTTGATGCCAATGGCTGCCCAATTTGTGAATGCATTAAAGGTCCAGTTACTGAAGGTAATTTTAAGCAATTATTTAAATTTATTTTATTTATTATTTTTAAATCAACTTCATCAATTTTTAATTGAAAAGATTATATAGCTTCATGATTGTTGAGTGAATTTTACATATTTCTCACTTGATTTTGAGAATGATTTACCAAAAACATATATTTTTTTTGTGTAATTTTGTATTAAGGTTACATGAAAACCATCAGTTGCTTCAAAACTTTAAATGATAGAAAAATTGAATTTGAGTTGATTAAGGTATTTAGAGTTTTATTATTATTTTTAAATTTTCAGTTACTTGTGAACCAGGTTTTGAGAATGTAGATGGACAGTGTGTAGGTAAGTTGTGTTATCTTATATAATTTCTCGTTAATTCACAAATCATCATCTATTGTATAATACAGCTTATTTAAAATGTGACATTTCAATGTTCATAATTACATGTATTGTATAATTTGTGGGTTGTTTAGTTTAGGTAAATGAAGCTATATTCTTCATCTCAGCCTATCACAGAAGAGAAAGTTCAGAATGTTTACATTTTATTAGCATACAATAATAAATTTATGGTAAATCAGATTTATGAATGTATCAGTGTGAATACCATTTTAAGATATATATATATCAAATTAATTCATTGCTTTGGGGATAGTTGTTGTCTAAATATTGTTAAATTGAAATTCATAAGAATTGATATGCTAATTATTCAATAAATTTTCTTTAGATATTGATGAATGATTGATTGATTTTTTATTTTTTAAAATTTTTTTTAAATAAAAAAAAAAAAAAATGTTTACTTTTCAGAACTAACACATTGTCAGAAACGTAAATCTGGTGGAGGACTTCTACTTTTAGGATCATTTAATCCACAATGTGATGATAATGGTGAATATATTGCTGCCCAGTGCCATCCAAGCACAGGTTTTTGTTTTTGTGTAGATGACAAAGGTGAAATTATTCCGGGCACTCAACAAGATCAAAGAGGAGTGAAACCAAATTGTAGTGAAATAGTTACTGCTGGTGAGTGGATTATTTATTTTAGACAAGACTTTTTTTATTCCTTGTTTCGCGTACTTATTTTTTTAAAGATTATCGGAGAAGGAGGATAAAAATAAAATTTTATTGGTGAATGTATATTGGGATGCTTAAATGCTTAAAGTTTATATAATTAGGAAGAAATATACATACCTTTGGAGATTTCAAGGCAGTGGAGGGCGTAATAAAAATAAAAATAAACTTTTTTCTGAAATTTTAACTTTTTTTGTGGCGGCGGGTGTGCTAATTGGTCAAAAATGTTATTTTTATTTGATTTAACAATATTTGCAGTCGGCGGATTCGCTAAACAAGATATAAAAAAGGTCTGGCCTTAAATAAAATGTAAAAAAAAATTACAACAAATCCAAAGTATGCATTCACCATATCATCAATCTTTTGTTGATGTTTTCCAGAACCTGCAACTTGTCCACCACATTATGGAACACCATTAACAAAAAAGTGTTGAATCTAAACATAATTTCTTTTTTTGTGTGTAATTTTGTATAAAGATTTTATGGAAATTGTATGTTGATTCAAAAGTTATAATATATGAACAATTGAATTTTAATTGAATGTAGTAATGAGTACTCTATGTAGAACTTAATTTTTTATTCTTTTAATTTTCAGTTACCTGTGAGCCAGGTTTTGAGAATGTAAATGGACAGTGTGTAGGTAAGTTGTGTAATATAATTGCTTGTTAATGCATAAGTCATTATCTATTGTATACTGCAGCTTATTTGAAGTGTGAGATGTCAATGTTCATAATTACAGTACATGTATTGTATGATTAGTGAGTTGTGTTTGGATGTATAAATTCTGCATCACAACTAGTCACAGAATAGAATATTCAGAATGTTTACATTTTATTGGCATACAATAATGGATTTGTGGTAAATCAAATTTATTATATAATCAGTGTGAATACCAATTTAAGATATATAATATCAAATTTAATTAATTAATGATGGTGAATGTTGCTTTGGGATATTTCTTGTGTAAATACTGTTAAATTGAAATTCATAAAAATTAATTGAATAATTATTCAATAAACTTTCCTCAGATATTGATGAATGTGAATCGATTGATGCATGTCCTCAAGATTCTGGCTGTGAAAACACTGAAGGAAGTTTTAGATGTGTAGGAGGCAATCCATTTGGTATACCCGCAGATTTACATCCAAAAAATGGTTAGTAACTGTATGAGTTTGAATACTATTTTAGGATACCTCTTTTATACTGGACACAAAACTCTGGACACAGCCCAGAATATTCTTTTACTCTGTCTGTTGCCATTGCAAATTTTTGTAACTCAAGTAAATGGGATCTGCATTCCATATCAATCCTGAATTAATGCAGGTTTTTTACTTATTTTTGCATCTTTATGTGCGTAACCCATTTAGTGATGCTTGTTAACAAAATTACAGGAACACGCTCATAGTATTGGTCTGTACCCAGACCATGTATAGGGTCAGTGGTTTGTACTAAAGAAGAACAAACTTATTCCTCATCCATGATAAATGTCATGATGCGGATAATCAATTTCTGATAATTATATTCTGATGTCTGACAGTTGTCTTGTTTTACTTGTAGGAAGTTGTCCACCTACATCAGGAGACACTGTTGGCATCTGTGTTCAAATGTGTGATGTTGATAGTGATTGTGATGGTGCAAAGAAATGCTGTAGCATTGGGTGCGGTCGTCAATGTACAGAACCTATACGTAGGTGTAACACTGTCTATTTTTGAGTACTTATCTGATGTTATAGAAGCAGATTAAAATGATAGAACAATCCTCCCATAGTATGCCTTAAAACTGGGCCATAATATTTTACTTTTTTTTTTTATAGATTTCAGTTCGATGCTAATATCATTTACCGTTATATTTTATATATTATAGTACTGTACATATTTAATTTTTACATTTAAATATATATGCTGACTTTTCAGAACTAACACATTGTCAAAAGCGTAAAGCTGTTGGAGGACTTCTACTTTTAGGATCATTTAATCCAAAATGTGATGATAATGGTGAATATATTGCTGCCAAGTGCCATCCAAGCACAGGTTTCTGTTTCTGTGTCGATGACAAAGGTGAAATTATTCCGGGCACTCAACAAGATCAAAGAGGAGTGAAACCAAATTGTAGTGAAATAGTTACCGCTGGTGAGTTGATTATTCATTTTACATAGAATGTAATAACAATTACGACAAATCTAAAGTACACATTCATCAATCTTATTTTGAATTTTTCCAGAACCTGTTACTTGCCCACCACTTTGTGGAGCACCATTAACAAAGAAGTGTACACATTTACCATATCTAATAAAATATCTTATCTTTCATTTTTGTTTTCCAGAACCTCCGACTTGTCCACCACTCTGTGCAATGTTTTGTGAGTTTGGAAATGTTTTGGACACCAATGGTTGTCCAATATGTGAATGCATTCAAGGTCCAGTAACTAAAGGTAGTGTTCAGTAATGCACAAACTATTTTGATACATTTAATATGGCTGTATGCGTCGAAGAGGTTTGGCGTAATGGGAACTGTTTGTTTTCCCAACCTTGAGGCTTGGGATTCAATTCTTCGCTGTGCATTTCACTTGTGTCCTTGAGCAAAGCACTATATAGGGAGCTTTTGATTGCACGATGACGGTAGGACCTAGAACGTAATAACATCACTAAAAGTAATTTGTGCATGGGAGAACCTTAAGGTCACCTCGTCGAGTAGATTCTGGAACGCAATTTGGCCAAATCTACATTGCAGAGAACGTAGGATGCCAGGTAGGACGGCCACGCATGAGTGATTCCGTTGTAGCGTTGCGTCGTCGCACAAATCGAAAGCTCTCTAATATCTACTGTACATTGTTATAGTCTTCCCAGCTGTACCAATGGGTACCAGCAAATTGCTGGGAGTAAACTGCGGTGGACATGCGCCCCATCCAAGGGGAGTGTCGCACTGTTATCTTTGTTAAAGTTTCGTGACAGGCAATCACCACCAATCAAAATGATAGAACAATCCTCCCATAGTATGCCTTAAAACTGGGCCATAACCCTTGCAATCTCTCTCATTTATTTTCACAGTTGCAAAAGGTACTGGAAATTTTCTTGTAATATTTTACATGCATTTTTTTTTTTATAGATTTCAGGTCGATGCTAATATCAATTACCGTTATATCTTATATATTATAGTACTGTACATATTTAATTTTTACATTTAAATATATATGCTTACTTTTCAGAACTAACACATTGTCAAAAGCGTAAAGCTGGTGGAGGACTTCTACTTTTAGGATCATTTAATCCAAAATGTGATGATAATGGTGAATATATTGCTGCACAGTGCCATCCAAGCACAGGTTTCTGTTTCTGTGTCGATGACAAAGGTGAAATTATTCCGGGCACTCAACAAGATCAAAGAGGAGTGAAACCAAATTGTAGTGAAATAGTTACCGCTGGTGAGTTGATTGTTCATTTACATAGAATGTAATAACAATTTTGACAAATCTAAAGTACACATTCATCAATCTTATTTTGAATTTTTCCAGAACCTGTTACTTGCCCACCACTTTGTGGAGCACCATTAACAAAGAAGTGTACACATTTACCATATCTAATAAAATATCTTATCTTTTATTTTTGTTTTCCAGAACCTCCGACTTGTCCACCACTCTGTGCAATGTTTTGTGAGTTTGGAAATGTTTTGGACGCCAATGGTTGTCCAATATGTGAATGCATTCAAGGTCCAGTAACTAAAGGTAGTGTTCAGTAATGCACAAACTATTTTGATACATTTAATATGGCTGTATGCGTCGAAGAGGTTTGGCGTAATGGGAACTGTTTGTTTTCCCAACCTTGAGGCTTGGGATTCAATTCTTCGCTGTGCATTTCACTTGTGTCCTTGAGCAAAGCACTATATAGGGAGCTTTTGATTGCACGATGACGGTAGGACCTAGAACATAATAACATCACTAAAATTAATTTGTGCATGCGAGGACCTTAAGGTCACCTCGTCAAGTAGATTCTGGAACGCAATTTGGCCAAATCTACATTGCAGAGAACGTAGGACGCCAGGTAGGACGGTCACGCATGAGTGATTCCGTTGTAGCGTTGCGTCGTCGCACAAATCGAAAGCTCTCTAATATCTACTGTACATTGTTATAGTCTTCCCAGCTGTACCAATGGGTACCAGCAAATTGCTGGGAGTAAACTGCGGTGGACATGCGCCCCACCCAAGGGGAGTGTCGCACTGTTATCTTTGTTAAAGTTTCGTGACAGGCAATCACCACCAATCAAAATGATAGAACAATCCTCCCATAGTATGCCTTAAAACTGGGCCATAACCCTTGCAATCTTTCTCATTTATTTTCACAGTTGCAAAAGGTACTGGAAATTTTTTTGTAATATTTTACATGCAATTTTTTTTTTATAGATTTCAGGTCGATGCTAATATCAATTACCATTATATTTTATATATTATAGTACTGTACATATTTAATTTTTACATTTAAATATATATGCTTACTTTTCAGAACTAACACATTGTCAAAAGCATAAAGCTGGTGGAGGACTTCTACTTTTAGGATCATTTAATCCAAAATGTGATGATAATGGTGAATATATTGCTGCCCAGTGCCATCCAAGCACAGGTTTCTGTTTCTGTGTCGATGACAAAGGTGAAATTATTCCAGGCACTCAACAAGATCAAAGAGGAGTGAAACCAAATTGTAGTGAAATAGTTACTGCTGGTGAGTTGATTATTCATTTTACATAGAATGTAATAACAATTACGACAAATCTAAAGTTACACATTCATCAATCTTATTTTGAATTTTTCCAGAACCTGTTACTTGCCCACCACTTTGTGGAGCACCATTAACAAAGAAGTGTACACATTTACCATATCTAATAAAATATCTTATCTTTTATTTTTGTTTTCCAGAACCTCCGACTTGTCCACCACTCTGTGCAATGTTTTGTGAGTTTGGAAATGTTTTAGATGCCAATGGTTGTCCAATATGTGAATGCATTCAAGGTCCAGTAACTAAAGGTAGTGTTCAGTAATGCACAAACTATTTTGATACATTTAATATGGCTGTATGCGTCGAAGAGGTTTGGCGTAATGGGAACTGTTTGTTTTCCCAACCTTGAGGCTTGGGATTCAATTCTTCGCTGTGCATTTCACTTGTGTCCTTGAGCAAAGCACTATATAGGGAGCTTTTGATTGCACGATGACGGTAGGACCTAGAACGTAATAACATCACTAAAAGTAATTTGTGCATGCGAGAACCTAAAGGTCACCTCGTCGAGTAGATTCTGGAACGCAATTTGGCCAAATCTACATTGCAGAGAACGTAGGATGCCAGGTAGGACGGTCACGCATGAGTGATTCTGTTGTAGTGTTGCGTTGTCGCACAAATCGAAAGCTCTCTAATATCTACTGTACATTGTTATAGTCTTCCCAGCTGTACCAATGGGTACCAGCAAATTGCTGGGAGTAAACTGCGGTGGACATGCGCCCCACCCAAGGGGAGTGTCACAACACTGTTATCTTTGTTAAAGTTTCGTGACAGGCAATCACCACCAATCAAAATGATAGAACAATCCTCCCATAGTATGCCTTAAAACTGGGCCATAACCCTTGCAATCTCTCTCATTTATTTTCACAGTTGTAATAACAAATTTCGACAAATCTAAAGTACACATTCATCAATCTTATTTTGAATTTTTCCAGAACCTGTTACTTGCCCACCACTTTGTGGAGCACCATTAACAAAGAAGTGTACACATTTACCATATCTAATAAAATTTCTTATCTTTCATTTTTGTTTTCCAGAACCTCCGACTTGTCCACCACTCTGTGCAATGTTTTGTGAGTTTGGAAATGTTTTGGATGCCAATGGCTGTCCAATATGTGAATGCATTCAAGGTCCAGTAACTAAAGGTAGTGTTCAGTAATGCACAAACTATTTTGATATATTTAATATGGCTGTATGCGTCGAAGAGGTTTGGCGTACTGGGAACTGTTTGTTTTCCCAATCTTGAGGCTTGGGATTCAATTCTTCGCTGTGCATTTCACTTGTGTCCTTGAGCAAAGCACTATATAGGGAGCTTTTGATTGCACGATGACGGTAGGACCTAGAAGGTAATAACGTCACTAAAAGTAATTTGTGCATGCGAGAACCTTAAGGTCACCTTGTCGAGTAGATTCTGGATTGCAATTTGGCCAAATCTACATTGCAGAGAACGTAGGATGCCAGGTAGGACGGTCACGCATGAGTGATTCCGTTGTAGCGTTGCGTCGTCGCACAAATCGAAAGCTCTCTAATATCTACTGTACATTGTTATAGTCTTCCCAGCTGTACCAATGGGTACCAGCAAATTGCTGGGAGTAAACTGCGGTGGACATGCGCCCCACCCAAGGGGAGTGTCACACTGTTATCTTTGTTAAAGTTTCGTGAAGAGGTTTGGCGTACTGGGAACTGTTTGTTTTTTTTTGTCGGATACAAAAACACTGAAGGAATCTTAACATTACCTTTTCTTATACTTTTACACTTATCGCACTGTAATGTTGTCCATGGTTATACCCAATTTACGTCACATGACCGGCTGTAAACAAACATTGCCAAATCAGTATATAATTAGAAAATGACAAATTTAATTAATCTTTATTAATTTAAAAACAAGGTAAACAGAATAGATAGATGATTAATGTAAATTATGAAAATAATCAACATCAATTTAACTCTCTTTTTAAATCAAATCTGATTTTTCTTTTCAGATCCTATTTTTTGTGACTCAGGATATGAGATTGTAAATGGCCAGTGTGTTGGTAAATAATATAAATTAATTTCTGACTACTTCATTAGCTTTTAATAATTGCTTGTCATTTAGAATTTAGAACCTGTTATCAACAAATATGACTTATTTTAATGACATTATTCCCCAAAACTGTTACAGATTTAATAAAAAAAAAAAAAAAAACAAATGTAAAAACTATCATACAGTAGTTTAAACACTCCAAAACTGTTAAAGATTTGGTTAAAGTTTATAATTAAAAAAAACTCTAGAATATATTCCAAATAAACAATCCTATGCTAAGTTATAATAAGAGTTTAGTTATAAAGCATCAAATTGTTCCATCCTGTAAGTATATATGCTATTGCAGTTGGAATCTTTCACACATTTGATAGAAATTTATTTTAAAAAATAAAAAATAACAAGTGTATGGTAATTTTTATAAGTGTACACATAGTTAGATTTGTTAGAAAACGAAATAAATAACAACGAAAAACTCATTCCTCAGATATCAATGAATGCAATATCTTGAACTCCTGCCCTCAAGATGTCGGATGCGAAAACACTGAAGGAAGCTTTGAATGTATTTATGGAGGCAATCCTTTTCTACCACCTTTAATTCCTGTAGTAATAGGTCAGTATGGATACAGAATTAAAAAGACCGATTCAGTGATTCGGAGTCTATCTTGTGAATACTTACCTGGATAAACCAATTGCCATTGTTCCTTAAAGAACAACCATACGACAAAAAAATAGAACTGACCGATTGTCCCAGCACATGACTGCGACCACGCCCAAGGTTCCTCCTCATTCCTTTGTAGTCGGTCCACGAACGACGACCACACCCAAGCGTTTCAATGAGTGTTGAATAGAACAGACAGTATTCATAACTTGGGAATTTTGCCTTAATGGTTTGCAAATGCTCCAAAGGGTATTGGCCCCAAACATTGAGATTTTTGACATCGTTTGGCCCAGGCCCCTGCATATCTACGGCCTGTTTAGGTATGCACAAGGGTCTTTGTCCCGTGAACTACATTATGATTTCTAGGCTAGCTAAGGCTTACAAAGAATCACATAAATTTCAAAGCATACAATTGCCATAAATTTATTTCTCACATTAACTGTGGATGGTTGTTTTCGAAACCATAACCTTACCTTTTCCTATACTTTTACATTGATCCCACTGTAATGTTGTCCATAGTTATACCCAATTTACGTCACATGACCGGCTGTAAACAAATATCGCCAAATCAGTATATTATTAGAAAATGACAAATGTAATTAATCTTTATTAATTAAAAAACAAGGAAAAAGGAATAGATAGATGATTAATGTAAATTATGAAAATAATCAACATCAAGTTAACTCTTAAATCAAATCTGATTTTTCTTTTCAGATCCTATTTTTTGTGACTCAGGATATGAGATTGTAAATGGCCAGTGTGTTGGTAAATAATATAAATTAATTTCTGATTACTTCATTAGCTTTTATTAATTGCTTGTCATTTAGAATTTAGAATCTGGTATTAATAAATATGACATTTTAATCATTTAAATGACATTAATTCCCAAAACTGTTACAGATATAAAACAACAAATAAAAAAACTATTATAGTTTTAAACACCCCAAAACTGTTAAAGATTTTGTTAAAGTTTATAAATAAAAAAAAACTCTAGAATATATTCCAAATACGTAATCCTATGCTAAGTTGTAATATGTGCTTGGTTGTAAAGCATCAAATTGTTCCATCTTATAAGTATATATGCTATTAGAGTTGAATTCTTTTGCACATTTGATAGAAATTTATTTAAAAAAATAACAAGTGTATGGTAATTTTTGTAAGTGTACACATAGTTAGATTTGTTAGAAAACAAAATAAATAACAATGAAAAACTCATTTTTCAGATATCAATGAATGCAATATCTTGAACTCTTGTCCTCAAGATGTCGGATGCGAAAACACTGAAGGAAGCTTTAAATGTATTTTTGATGGAACCAATCCTTTTGAACCACCTGAAATTTTAGTAATAAAAGAAGGTCAGTAGAAATACTGTATAGCATTGAATTATTAAGAAATGACTTTAATATGCTTAAAGCTTTAATAAAGAAATTAAGTACAATTTGTTTGGGCAGCACTAGCTTCTTATAATTCCTCTATCCCTTCCCTGCTCTTTTGTAATTCTTATTGATGCAGATATTGAAACTCTAATATTAATAACATAAAAACTTTATTTCACAATTTTTTTAATTTCTAATGCAAAAAGTAAATGCTTTCTTAAACAATAATATTTTTCTTAATTTCTAGGAAGTTGCCCAGTTGTATCAGGAGACACTGTTGGCATCTGTGTTCAGATGTGTGATGCAGACAGTGATTGTGATGGTACAAAGAAATGCTGTAGCAATGGGTGTGGTCACGCATGTATGGAACCTGTAGGTAGGTGCAAACTTTTAATATCATTCCATCTTAGATAGCTTGCAGAGAATATTGGCTTTGTGATGGAAATAGATAATGTATACTTTGCAAGATGTTACTATACTCGTGTCTCAAAAAATAAAAAATGAGATCATTAGATCTTGTAATCTAGAGGTCAAAAGCTAATAATTGCTGCAAACATTGTTAAAAACGGATACAAAATGGCGACGATAGTATAGTCTATTTCATGAATACATAACTGGATAAACTGACTACTATAATTGCCATTGTTCCTTTAAAAACACCCCTATGACAAAAATAGAACCAAAGATAGGATAACTTATGTTTTTTAGTCCAACATGCATTAAGATAGTCAATACATGAGATTTTTAGCTGATTTGAAGACTTTCGTTTTTCCCCAGTCTGTCACATATTGTGATGATGTTGGTTTCACATAATTGGTTTTGAAGCAAATATGAAGCCTTGTTTGACTTGTTATAATGTTATACTCATTGTATTTAGGACTAACTCACTGTCAGCAGAGACGAAAGGACTACATTTCCTCTGGTCTAATAGGAGGTTTCTTACCAAACTGTAACAGCGATGGGTCCTACATTGTCAGCCAGTGCCATGGTGGTACTGGTTTCTGTTTCTGTGTTGATCAGTTTGGTGTAATCATTGAAGAGAGCAGAATGGATGTCAGAGGAGTTGAGGCAGATTGTTCACAGTATCTACCTGAAGCAGAAATAGGTGAGTATTTAATAGTTTTAAAACAACTGGTGGCACTTGCATTTTATGAATCCGGGTGATCTCATTTTGAGGTAGAGGATGCTGATGACTTGGATGGAGGATAGAAACTAAGTGGTCTTGATTAATGATGAAGAGGGTGATGAGAAGGAAGAGGAGTATGATTGATAATGGACTGTAAAGATAATTAAGACAATGAGAATGATAATGATGGCAGTGATGACAAAGACGATTGCAGTGCAGACAGTGATGATAATTATAAATTATAATTATAGATTGCGATGATGTTGATTATACATGATATTTTAAAGACATCTCAAAAACAATGACTTATTGTAATTGTTGTATTTAGAACTAACACATTGTCAGCAGAGACAAAAGGAATATTATGAAACTGGCTTACTGGGAGGTTTTTCTCCAAGATGTAATGATGATGGTTCTTACAAAGTAAGCCAGTGTTATATCGGTTTCTGTTTCTGTGTTGATCAATTTGGTGAAATCATTGAGGAAAGCAGATTGGATGTCAGAGGAGTTAAGGCAGATTGTTCGCAGTATCTACCAGAAATTGAAATAAGTGAGTATTTATATACATTTCTCAAGTACTACACTCAGAGACTTTAGGATGTCACTGTGTGATGTTAGGAAGATTATTATAGTCTAGGATGCAGTCACGTCATCTGCAATAGTGACAATGTTGAGTTCTCGTTGTCATCTAAAATTTAAGATGTGGTTTGGCCCAAATCAACACCATGCAGAGAATGTAGCTCAGACAAGTTAATGTATTTAGGTTTACATTGTCGCGCAATGGATCTTCCGCTAAGTCTGCACAGACAAGTTAAGGTATTTAGGTTTACATTGTCACGCAATGGATCTTCCGCTAAGTCTGCACAGACAAGTTAAGGTATTTAGGTTTACATTGTTGCGCAATGGATCTTCTGCTAAGTCTGCACAGACAAGTTAAGGTATTTAGGTTTACATTGTCACGCAATGGATCTTCCGCTAAGTCTGCACAGACAAGTTAAGGTATTTAGGTTTACATTGTTGCGCAATGGATCTTCCGCTAAG